TATCAGGTCCGAAGGGTTAAGGTGGTGATGTCATAATGAAGACTGATTGGTCAAAGAAATGTGACACAAGCCCATCGTTTGTTGACACCGGGACACTTTGACACTTTGAGGAAAATCAGTACAACAGAATCAAGGCTTTCCAGCAAAAACAGGGACAGCTGAAGGAAGGGGATCTAACCCATTTCCCAACGTTCAGCGTGGTCATGGGTGAGCATGACAATGTTTATATCAACTGCACTCACACAAAAACAACATCATGGAAAAACTGCAGGAAGAATTCACACGGCGCTTCTTGGACTCCAGAAACCAAAAAAAATTGTTGAGTGCCCTCCAATATCTACATAAATAGGATGTGAGAAAGCAGGGGTTTCATTGGGGACTTACATTTTATGTGCATTTGCGCTGATATGACAAGAAATTATCGTGCATTTTAACCTGTATATGCTAATTCGTACTTCAGTTCTACATAAGACTTTCTTCAGCTTCTAATCCAGAACTTCACCAACATACCATTAGAATGGCCTCCCTGTTTGGAAGGACCTGTACATTTGAGGAAACCTTCTCTACCCTGGCATCATCAAATCCACACAGAGATCCAAGCTGACAGATGGCCACTTACAAGTAGACCTTCTTATATGTATCATAGTATCATCAAAGTATTGTGTTATTGTGATATTTGGAAAGCTCATATATTAGAACTGCCCCCTCCCTCCCATCCCCGTGTGTGTGTGAGAGAGAGTGTGTGCCCATTTTGTTTGCTTATTTGTTTTTATCTTTGATAGATTGCTTGTTTTAATTTTGAGGTTAAATTTAGGTATGCAACTTATTTAATTCACATTAAAAGTCACATTTGAATGTTAGCAAATAAGTAAATGGATGGATTTGGATTTTTTATTTCACATGTGTATTTTTCCCTTGTGCAGCCCTGCATCCAAAGCAGGCTCCCTAGACTGACCCTCAGGCATCAAAACTTTGAGAACCCCTGAGATTTTCAATAAGGAACAAATCACATATTACCTTAACAGAGCATTTTAAATGGTGTCTGCACAAAACACAGTGGTCTTCATTATGGGGCATGATGAGCTGCAGGATGAACTAGGGAAAGTGCTTTGTAAGTTTAACAGATTGTATTTCATTTAGGCAAATGATGATTCTGGAATAACATTGTAATAAGTGTGTTTAAGGCCGATTGTATAAATCATGTGTTAATCATTCATGTGTCAGCAATGTTGAGTCTTAGTGTCTATGGTGAATGAAGATTAGTGAAGTTTCAAGGACATCATGCCCAGTGTATGGGATGGTGCAAGGTCTCAGAGCATCGAGATAGCTGGAACTGTAAAACCTGCTGTACAAAGTGAAGGGTGCTGGATGTGGGGGGATCACACAGGCTCCATGAGATGAAGAGGTAAGGAGCATGCACTGATTACAGTCCGTTGCTGCACCCATCACATGACAAACATGACAATGAAGATCTGACCAAATCCACCAACAGAATGGAAATGGATGTCCCTAGGCAATTCTAGTCCCTCAGGGAATGCAAAACTTCTGCTCCAATGGGAGATCACACAGTAGTCCAAGTATTCAAGAGAGATTTAAAAATAATAGGACGAATTGGAGAGCTGAACCAAAAAGGTAGGCTAAGCTATGCTAGCCTGGAGAGACACATCCAGCGGGTTCTGATAAAAGGATGTGATGAAAGTGAAGGTGTGGAAGCTGTTACTCAGGCCATTGCTCCAGGAATAAAACTAAACAGTTACCTTCATAAGAGAATTGATTTATCACTTCAAGGTCTGAAACAAATTCTAATATATATGAGCACCCTCCACAATTATTGGCACGCCTTGTAAAGATTTGTAAAACGGGTTAGAAAAAATCCACCTTTTGCCAAAGTAGTTTCATATTACATAAAAAATGAGAAAAATCCAACCTACCTTTAAAATATTTTTTTGGAAGAAAAACAAATCCTACATCAAGAAATAATTATTGTGTGTGTCTGTGTATCATATAACAGGTGTGATGACTGTGACAGATGGTTTTATGTCCATTCAGTGTCTGGCAATGAAAAAACTACAATTCAAAGAAGCAAGGAAAGGAAGCTGGAAGTTTCCTTTATCCAAGTAACAAGTAATTTGTTCAAATTTGCTGTCGAATTACAAATATGGTTCACATTTTCGATACATATGTGGAATTACAGTTATACTGTCTTACGGTCTCATCTGAAACAAATAGCTGAAAATGTATTAAGTAATTATTGTAACAGTTCTTTTTGTATAAGAAAGTACAGAAAATTACACCACAAGACAATGACACATTATTTCAGAGTAGTTTATATTAAAAGCTCGCCAGCAAAAAAATGTAAAATGAAAAAAAAAAATGTGTACACTTGCTTAAAAATTTCAGTTTCAAGTAAACATGACTTCTTTGACTATAGTTTCAAAATACCTTTCCTAGGATTTGTTAGAGGTGTTGTATAGTGGCTTTTACTAACATTGAATTTGGATAATAGATTTTCATATAAAATACATAAAGCAATAAATATAAATAAATATTGCTCTGTCCTGTGCGACTAAGGTAGGATCATTTCAAAGAAAAAATATTTTTTCCAATAAATATTCATATAAAATACTTAACGCAAGAAAAATGAATATTAAGCTGTCACCTCTTTGTCTAAGGTAGTACTCCAATTTGCACCAGGTCACTGGATCCCGTAACCTAGAAGCCACTGAAAGAAATCTGAAATTCGGGCAGTAATTTGTTGTCGGTCCCTAAATCAGCAGTAAGCGGTGGTCTGTGGGGAGGGCTATGGACCTGAACTGGTCGTCTTTCGACTGCTTATGACGAATAGCCGGAGTAAAACAAGGCTGATGCATCTGGGCGTTACCAGAGGAAGGAATTTGTATGGTGGGAAAGATATCGGATGACAGTATTACTCGGCTTTTCTGTCTCAGCACCAAACATAAACTGAAAATGAAGGTATGATCAGAAAGACGATGATGAAGGTCCAAAGTCTCAGAGTCCTTTTGATCCTCTTCGTCATAGGCTGTGATGGTATGTATTGCCTAGTTTAAAAATAAGACCTACGTTTTGTGTCTGGTGATTCGTATACGTATGTTTATGACTGTGATTGTCTATTTTTTGGTGTACTAGTTCATACACAGGGCTGCATATAACTGAATGGTACGCAAGTACGCAGTCACTTTTAAAAGCGACACGTGCGTCAATCGATTGCTGTGACAGTGCAAATACGTACGTATTTTATGTGCATTTGCGCTGATATGACAAGAAATTATCGTGCATTTTAACCTGTATATGCTAATTCGTACTTCATTTGCGGTATCACTTTTAACGGTGAATGCGTACTTGCGTACCAGTTATATGCAGCCCTGTTCATATAGAAGTATTTGTTTACCAAATATAGAAGTAGCATTTGTAAATAATGCTTATTTTTTAATGCTCTAGGCCATGGTTTTATATCTCTTATTTTTGTGGTAGGTTTCCTTCTACACGGCTCTGCTGGTCCTCTAACAGCCCGGCTGGGAGGAGCTGTACTGCTGCCCTGCTTTGTGGACAGACCCCTGCCTTTGGAGGAGCTGGAGGTGGATTGGAGAAGGACTGATTCAGACACCATCGTGCACCTATTCCAGGATGGTCAGAGCAGACCTGAATCACAGGGGGACGCCTACAGGGGCAGAGCCCACTTCTTCTCTCAGGAAATCCCCAAAGGCAACTTCTCTCTGCTGCTTGACGGTGTGAGGACTGCAGATGCAGGAGTGTACAAGTGTGTGGTTTATACAGAGCAGGAGCAACGTGAAACACGGGTGGAAATACAGGAAGCAGGCAAGTGAGCCTTTCTGATTTATGGCTTAAGTATTATAATTAATTGTTTTTGGAGCTGATGTATGTGGAATATAGCATAATTATCCTTAGAGTTGTTACATGTACTTTCAAACAAAAATCACAAAAATCTTTCATCTTCCAGGTTCCTAATGGCAAAATTTAAAAACTGATCAATTAAATGTTAAAATGGAAACAGTTAAAACTATCTGGGTTTCATCCCTAAACAGGAAGGAAAAACACACAGATGTCAGGTTGCCAGGTCGTGTGAACCCTCCTCTTCTTGTTCCAGAGCGGCTGGTGGTGATGGGTGCAGATGAGCCAGTCTATGCACATGCTGGAGAGGATGTGACTCTCAGCTGCTCTGTGGACACTCATGTTAATATGACAGAGCTTCAGGTGAAATGGAGAAAGACAGACGATGACGGTGACATCTTGATGCTTCTGTATGATGATGGAGAGAACAGACCAGAGTCACAGGATGAGAGATACTCTGGAAGAGCTGAATTCTTCACTGAGGAAATTCCCAAAGGAAACTTCTCAATGAAACTGAGGAAAGTCAGGACTGAAGACAAAGGAGAGTTCAGGTGTGAAGTCCACTCAGATACTGATTCTGTCAATACAACTGCCAGGATAGCAGCACTGGGTGAGTCACTGGAAGGACTGGTTTTAACATGCATCTCAGCATAATTTTGCGAGGTTAAATCTCATATTCATTCTCCTGAGGGTCAGTGGTTCTGTACACTGAGTTTTATGGATGTACCATAGTCTAACTGGATTTAATCAGCTCAGTGTAAAGCCTAGAACACACCAAGCTAATTTTCGATTGTCTAAAGTTGTTAGGCTGTTAGATGGAGTCGGTGACTGTCCGGCATGTGCGTTGTACATTATATTGTATGACTGGGTAAATACAATTAAACAGGTCTATGTATCATGTTGTATAAATATATTCAAACCATTTAAGAGAATATGAAAAATCTCATATTTTAATGAGCATGTTTTAAGGCTGGAGAACAGTTAGGAATCACACACCTGTGGAAAAGGATTTAATCATGAATTTCTGCTCCAGTTTGAGAATAATTGGTGGTTTGGATGTGATGATTATACTCTAACATGGCTAACAGCCTAATTCAGAAAATAAATTATGGATATAATTCATCTTTTAGGTTATTCATCCCTGCATTGGCTGATTCTGGGGCTGTGCATCGCTGTCACACCTGTAGTCCTACTTACTGGGGCTTTATCATTCTGGCATTTAATAAGGGGAGGTAAGTGTAGCATCTGCTCTGTCATTTATAGTAATTTTGATGACATCAGTGGATCCATGTTTGTGAGCGTGAGGCAGGACTGTATCTACATAAGGGTGCAGTGGTCCCCAACCTTTTTGCCACCACGGACTGGTTTTATTCTGTTAATACTTCCGCGGACTTGGGGGGGAGAATGGCATGTTAAGAGACGTGCGGAGACGTGTAATGGTCCCCAACCTTTTTTGCACCATGAACCAATTTCATGTAAAACAATATTTTCACGGACCGGTATAGAAGCAACTAAAAACAAAGTGTGTAAAAATACAACTCACCATCCCGCTGAATTAGTGGGAGCCCTGAGCTGGTTTCCCTCTTACGAGCCGGTCCCATCTGGGGGTAATGGGAGACAACATCACCCGAAGTGTGTTACTTATGTCCAGTCTACTCCATAATTTGGTTTTTGTTGCTGTCACTGCAGAAAATCCCGCTTCACAAACAGCCTCTGTTATCCGTTTGGTGGTTGGGGACCCCTCCATTATAGGACTTACCTGTGATGTAATTAAGCCATCTGAGGATGGCTGTAAATCATTAAACTTTGCATAAACCATAATCTAATGCTAAAGAGCTTGTGGTTAAATTTGGTTCTACTTTTTTTCTATAGGTAACAGCAGACAGGCTCTGTTGTGTCACTGTTTACATGTCACAGTCCCACAGATCATGGTTTCCACAGCATTCATCCTGTGGGGTGTAACTGAAGGTGAGCCCATTGAATATAAAGAATGCTTAGAAAGCTGAGATTTTCATTATTTGTGTCTTGTGAGTTTTCGGTTTAAAAAAATCTTTTTTTATGAACAACAGAGTGGCAGTAGTAAATAAAATGGATTTATGAACAGGCTAATAGAAACATTCTTGGCTTTTTTCTCTTTGGCAGACAGGTGGATCTCACTTAACATACCCTTTAGAATAAGATTAGCCAACCCAAAAACTATTTACTGCAATATAATGGGTATAAGAAGTATACAGTTATCTGGACCAAATATACCTGGGAACACTGATGGAGTTAATAAAACCGTGAAGAGCTGCTTTAGTGTTTCTTTAAATTTTTATTTGTCTTTAAGGTTGATAAACATTCTTTAAATAGACCAGGGGTCTCTAACTCCGGTTCTGGAGAGCTACTATCCAGTAGGTTTTCTATCATACCCGGCTTCCGATGAGCCACACTAATTCTCAGGTAAATACCAGGAGCAGGTGTGGCTCATCAGAAGCCAAGTGGGACAGAAAACCTACTGGATAGTAGCTCTCCAGGACCGGAGTTGGTGACCCCTGAAATAGACAGTCCCCAGGTTATGAATGTGATCCATTCCCTAAGGCTACATTTAAGTCAGAAAAATAATAATACATTACACAACAACAGGAACAAGAACAACAACAGCAAGAGTCATAATGACAGCTCATCACTAAGACAACTAAACCAAGTGTTCACTTTTTTATTTCATGACTAAATTGTAATGACAATGTAAATGGGAATAATAATAATAATAATAATACATTTTATTTGAAGCGCCTTTCAAAGTACCCAAGGACACTGTACAGTAAAAGCAAAGCATAAAATATAAAAGTAGTTAGACTATAAACAACAAATAGGTAGCATGTAGAGACAAAGACACATTGATTAAGAGACACACCAGCGCCAGATTGACATCAACTAAAACCAGATAAAATAAATACAAAAGAAAATCGCAAAAAGTCAAGAGTAGTCTGAGTAGGCCAGAGTGAAGAGGTGAGCTTTGAGCATGGATTTGAATATTGAGAGTGAAGTGCAAGTGGGAGGTTGTTCCAGAGTTTAGGGCCAGCCACACTATGTCACGCCCACAGGGGCGGGGCAGCACAGTGGATAACAATCATCCTCTTTAACCAGTCCCCTATTTAAAGCTCAAATGCGCTAACAGCATTTGTGAAGTATTGTTGCCATGTACTGGACCATTACTGAGCATTTAGCTGTCTCGTGTCTCCTCTCCCTTCCTTGCCTGTGTCGTCGTGCCCTGCCGTCTCGTGCCCTGCCACCTTAACCCTGCCTGCCTGCTCCGCTTGCCCTGCCTGGTCCATCCCATTGTCCTTTTCCCCATCTAACATACTAAATGCCCTGTCACCCATGGAACGGAGATGAGCAGAGGGGGTGGATAGAAGGTGTGAATCAGTAGAGCATAAGGTGTGGGTGGGTTTGTATAAGGTGAGAAGATCCGTGAGGTAGATGGGCGCTAGGTTGTTCTGGGCTTTGTAGATGAGCAGAAGGATTCTGAATTGAATCCGAGATTGTACTGGAAGCCAGTGTAACTGATGGAGGATAAGAGTGATATGTTGCCATGGTTTTGTACGGGTGAGAAGTCTTGTTGCAGAATTTTGGATATGTTGTAGTCTGTTTAATGATTTTGCTGGGAGACCAATTATAAGCAGGGCATTACAGTAATCGAGTCTGGAGGTTATGAAGGCATGAATGAGGATCTCAGCAGTAGCAAAGTTGAGTGAGGGGCGGAGTTTGGTCCTGATCTAAGTTTCAGTGGGTACCTTTGTTGGTTTGGACAGGGCCTTCCTGGTTCAAGAATGTTCTGAAACCCCCTGGGGGATGGGAGGGGATATGGACAGTTCATTGTGTCCCAAAAGGGACATTGAGGTCACCCTAACCCATCTGATTCTGCGCCATTCCCTAGTTCACCATCAGTCGCTGGGTGGGCCCAAACTGCAGGCTCCTCAGCCCCCATGTCCTCAGCTGCTCTCCCTGTCCGCCCTGGTCCCGAGTCATCTCGACCAACGGGGACGCCAACAACTGGCGCGAAACTGCCGAGTTTCTAGGGGTGACCCTGGACTTCTCCACACCCTCCTGTCCTGCCTGGCTCCATTCACCAATGCCCCTTTGAGTCCCAGTGTTACCCTGGTCTGTGCCCTTGGTATCTGTCTTTGTCTTCATCCCTTCTCCCAGTTGATGTTATTTGGTGCTCTCTGTCCTGGTTCCCTGTCTGTGTGCCACTCTATCCAGTTCCTCCGTTTTGGCCCCTTGTTGTCACGTTGCGCGGCACATGGACCAGGGAAACAGGTGACGGAGATCAGGATACGGGTAAAATAAAAGGATTTAATGGGGAAACACAGGGGCATAACAGGGCAACAAGGCATGACAATGCAATGACAGAACTAGGGAAACAAACTCTGACGTGGACTTAAATACACCGAACTAATGCAGACAATGAGAAACAGCTGTTAAACACTGGGATTCAACATGAGGTTAACGAGGGGGGCGTGGCACAGGAGGATCAGCACGATCGGGGTGTGACACTTGTGGCCTTTGATGTTGTCATGTTTTGTGTTCTGGTGATAGGTGTGCAGTTTGTCTGTCCCTCTTTTGCCATGGTTGCTGTTGTCACCATAAATACAAGATCTACTGAGAAGTTCAGCAAAGCAAGATCAAGTTGTAACAGGAAAACTGACATTCAATCTGCAGATCTGTATCTAAATACTGCAAAATGTTCACTAAATGTTATGTTGTGTGACTGCTGTTTCTCAGGATCCTCGGGAGAGGCTGCTGTTTGTGCTGCCGTCAATCTGCTGAGTATCCTGCTGATGTTTGTTATGGCTCCATATGTGGTCTCAACAGGTATGTTTCCTTATTTTTATATTTTTCTTTCTGTTTCCAATATGCACTGTTCAAAGGTGACAGTTTGATAAAAGCAGTAAAACATAATAAAATTGATTATTATAAAAGTCTTAGAAGAAATTAATGTACATTTTCATGGCGTTCCCATGTAATGCTGGTTCTCCTGCAGCCCAATTGCTGTTGCTATCAGGGTTCTAGCAGAGCACTGTTCAGCTCTTATACTTAAATATGGGTCATTGAGGTTTTTAATTTTAATAAAGGTGGCTGCTACCGTTTATGTATGATTTTATATATCGATTTAAAATGTTCCAAATTGGGTCTCAACTGCACATAGTGTCTCAACTGCAGTTTGAAAGAGGCATATTTAGGTAAATTTGTGTTTCTAAATTGCCTCATGTGTGTGACCATGTGCGTGTTTGCCCGATAATGATCATCCAGGATGTTGCTTTGGTTGTGCCCTATGTTGCTGGGCACAGGCTCCCCTTGGGAATTAGCAGTGGTTGTATACATTCTTCAGTCTTCCAGATGTGTTGTTTCACACAACCCAATGTTTTCCAATCCAGTCCTCAGCAGAGGCGGGGACTAGAGTCACTGACTTGGACTCAAGTCACAAATTTGATGCCTTGTGACTCGATTCGGCAAAACTGATTGAAAGATATGGATTCAACTTGGACTTTAGGGCAGATGATTATAGACTTGTACTCAGCTTGGACCTTTTGACTCAAGAAGACTTGAGGTTATAGTCTCCCCTCTAGATACCTTAAGATTAATTTTATAATTGCAACGTATATTAATTCTCTGCTGTCTGCCTTTTCATTTGGTTCAATGCAAAGTCTCCTGAGATAGTTTGCTGGGAAATCACTCCCTGAATACAAATGGACATAAAATCTGTATGAGGACAATAATGACCTATTTCTGCCTATGAAGGACTTAACCTACAACGTACTCTAGTGGATTTTTGTTGAAGCAAGTTTTAATCACTAAAGGTGATTGGTACAGTAGGAACTCAAGTTACATGACTCACAATTCAACTTGATCTTGAATCACAAACTTGGTGACTTGTGACTTGACAGTAGAAATTATGGAAAGACTTGGACTTGACTTGGACTTAAAGGAACATTACTTGAGACTTGACTCAGACTTACAATGTTTTGACTCAGACTCGCCAAGGAGTGACTTGTTTCCACAGCCAGTCCTTGTTTTTCGCTGCCTCCGAGCTCCCTGCCAGACAGTCCACATTTTTTTTTTCTGATTTTGAACATCATCTTACCTTAGGAACAGCAGTATCTTAAGGTGTCGGCAGATCACGTGGAAATCTGTCACTGCCGCATCTGTGTCTATCTGTATTCAAAATGACTGACAGAGCGCCCCTCTAGTTTAATTTATTAAACCTGCATTGGCGGAATTGAGTGCTTTTGACTTGGGTCATCAAGAGACCTCAAAACATTGGTATTTTTAAAAAGCACTAATCGAAACCAAAATAAAAACAATGATGTAACATCATTAGGAACAAATTGATTTATCATTCCATAAAAACTGGAACGATAAAAAAAACACTTGTGAAATATGACAAAAATACATAAAACTATAGCTCTGACTCCTGCTGGAAGTATGGGGGTTAAATAGATGGAGAACACTAAGAATCCAAAAATTGGATTATCTAGCTTAATATCCATCGTGGGCTCTTGGAGATCGCTCACAAGCAGTCTGAAAAATGAACCTGATGTCGTTAAAAGAAATATTAACAGGATATTAACAGGGCACCATTGTAAAATATGCTGCAAAAGTGTAATGCTGTGCATGCGTAGTTGTGTGAAGTACAAATCATGCAAGTTGTACGGATCGGGTAGAGTCAATATGCATGACCACTTAACTTATTGGACAGGAGTGATCAATTGTGGGGTGGGTCTGCTCTCAAGAGAACAAGCCTCTTACAAGACAGATGTGAAGATGCTGACTTTCCACCATTTCAATACAAAACTGTTTTTGACATGTAGCCTAATATAGTTGCAATAAAGTGAAGACCACACAATGTGTACAGACTACAGACTGTAGTCTGTAGTCTATCCTCACCCTTTTGTTTATTTCTTTTAAATTTAGCTGGATTGTTTGATTTATTTGATTAAAGGAAAACTGCTGTAGTTTTGTTATATTTTATTGCTGCTACTTTGCTTATCTTTGGTTTTAATTGTTTACTTAAAAATAGATATTGGAATTTTTATTTATCTTTTATATCAGCAAGAAAGTTCATAAAAAGGCTGAGTTTTTGAATGAAGTTCTTTATCTTCATTGTTAGTTAACACATGCCTGAAACAACCTCAAGGTTAATATTAAGCTGATAGCTAAATAATAGCCATTGAGTAACCATGTGATTCATAATCCAAATAGTCAATTATTTGTCTCAGTCATATCGATAGAGACTATCAAAACAGCTGTTTGTTGCAGTACTAGACAATCTGCCACTTGAGTCACTAGGATCCTTGATGATTTTCCCAGCTTTCCCCAGGCACCGCCTACTATATATATCCTGGAGGGAGGGAAGCTCACCTCTGATGATTTTCCTTATGCACTGCTCTACTTCCTGCAAAGCTGTGTGATTGTAGGTGGTGCAGTTCCCATACCAGGTGGTGATGCATCCAGTTAGGATGCTCTCAATGGTACAGTTATAAAATGTCCTGAGGATGCAAAGGTCAAACCTGTTTAGTTGCTCCAGGTAGAGGAGCCGCTGCTGCACCTGCTGTGCTGTTTTTCCAGTGTGGACTGTGCATGTGAAGTCCTTCCTGTGGAACCTAAAGCTGGTCATTCACCCCTCTGCAGACCCATTGATGGTAATGTGGGTGTGGGGGGAAGTCCACTATCAGCTCCTTAGTTTTGGCAACGTTGAGGGAAAGGCAGTTTTCCTGGCACCAGTGTGTCAGGGCTCTGACTTCTTCTCTGGGTGCTGTCTCATCCACGTTGGAGATGAGGTCCCCCACCATTGTGTCGTCAGTGGACTTCATGATAATGTTGCAACTCTTAGTGGCTGTGCGGTCATGGGTGTAGAATGAGTACAGGAGGGGACTCAGTACACAGCCATGGGGAGCTCCTGTCTTCAGGGTCAGGGAGTCTGACCACTTGGCTTCGGTCTGATAGAAAGTTCAGGATCCAGCTGCACAGAGAGCTGTTCAGATCCAGAGCTTCCTGTCAAGCCTGGAGGGAGCTATGGTGTGGGATGCTGAGCTGTAATCCACAAACTGCATTCGCACCTATGTGTCCCTTTTGTCCAGGTGGGATAGGGCAGTATGGAGTATGAAGGCTATGGCGTCGCTGGTAGACCTGTTCCGATGATATGCAAAGTAAAGAGGGTCTAATGCAGTTGTTCTCAATCCTGTTCCTGGTGCCCCCCCCTGCCAAAATGTTTTAATTCTATCCCTACCTTAATTATTAGGCTCAAGTGGTCTTTAATAGAAAATAATGAATTTGGCAGGTTAAAAGCAGTGTGGGTTGGATTGAAAACATTCTGGCAGAGAGGCACCATGAACAGGATTGAGAACCACTGGTCTAATGTGTCAGGCAGTGCAGAGCAGATGAAGTTCTTGACCAGTTTCTCAAAGCATTTGCTTACAGTGAGGATCGTGGCAACAGCACAACAGTTATTCAGGGATGTTGCTGTGATAGTTTTGGCACAGGGACAATGGTGGATGTTTTAAAGCATGCAGGGATTATGGATAAGAAGAGGGAGACATGACACTATAGCTAACTGGCCTGGACATGGTCTGAAGAGACAAGTGGGGATGCCTTGGCCAGCCACTTTGTATGTGAGTGTTCACCTGTAAGAAATTCCTGTGCATATTGTCTTTGCTGTCAGAATATGCGGAGATGTCATCTGTGCCACACACTGTGTCAGGTCAGGAGATGTTATCTGCCTCAAACTAAAACATGTTTTTCTCCTCCAAGAGAGAGGCGGTGCTCTGCGATGCACTGGAATTAGCTGTCTGTGGTGTTTAGTCCCTTCCACATGCTCTGAGAGTTTCTAAATTGTGATTCCACCTTGTCCTAAGCACTTGGCTGCTCTTAACATCTTCCATAGCACGTAGCTGGTATGTTTGTAACCAGGAGTGTTTGCAGAGGTGAATGTGACACTTCGCACTGCTAGTGCCTCACGATCCTCTTTGTTGATCTATGGTTTTTGGCTTGGGTAGACTTTAGTGCAGGGGTGGGCAATCTTATCCGCAAAGGGCCGGTGTGTATGCAGGTTTTTACGATAACCTTTTGATCAGCTGTTCAAAGCCAGGTGTGAGGACTAGAGGTCGACCGATATGGGTTTTCAATAGCCAATGCCGATGTTTAGGAGTCAGGGTCAGCCGATGGCCGATATATGCTGCCGATATTTTTTGGCCGAAAATTGCACGTTTTCCCCTCTACTTGCATGATAAAATATCACGCTAATAATAACAAACAATATACAAAATTTTTCAACTTTTATTGAATACTGACTGTAAACTTAAACAACAAAAACACAATACAACCTGTAAACAATAACTTAAACTTGGCTTGGTGAAATGCTGCCATACAGGATTAGATTTTTGTTCAGCCATCAGACAGCAATTATTAAAACAAAAGAAAAAATGGAGGGTTAGCATTTTTATTATAGTGCCTTCATCTTCAATTCATTCTACAATTCCAGTATTCCATGCACATTAAAACAATTACACTCTAATACATTTTGAAAGAAAAAAAAAACACTAGTAACTAAGTGCATCATGGTATGATGAGTAGTGTACAAGGCCCAAAACCTTTCACTAACATGTTGTTTATGTTGTTAGCAGACAGATAGCTTACAAGCCAAATTCATAATCAGAATCTAAATATCGCAGAAAATAAAATAACTTTGTCAGATTACACAGCCTTGTATGCAAGGACAACGTAAGCCCCTAGTGATTGTGACGTTGCCGACGTATAAGCCCGTATAAAGGATAGACATGTTTAATGAGGGAACTAACTGCGCAAAGTCATGCACTTTTTATCTAGACGCAGGGGCGCCGTAAGGGGGAGGAAAGCTAGGACGATTCCAAGGGCCCCTGAGTGACAGGGGCCCTAAAAAATTAGGAAAATAACTGGATTGGTTTGGACTGGGGGGCCTAATATGATATGCTTTCATGGGGCCCAAAATCTCTAGCAACGCCCCTGTCTAGACGTCTGACAAATTGTTCGAATCTCCGCTCTCAAATGCAAACAAGTTGCAACGAAGGACCATTGTCAGCATCAGCTCAAGTGAATAGTAACCACGCTTTCGAACATTTCGAATCATTTTTCTTCGCCATGTATTGTTCTTAGCAGCTCTGTGTCTCCGAGGACGGTGCTATCTGTGATCGGGGCAAAGTAACGCAACTCTCACAAACGCTGCAGTGTTTGAGAGAGCTGCCTGCTCCGCCCCACAGACACACACGGAGTGAAACTCTCCGACACAAGAAAAAATAACAGAACTGATAACATCGGGCTGATATGGTAATAATTAAAATGTTAACAATTAAAATGATTTTTAACGATTAAACAATGTCTTTGGGCCCACCAACAAGCGCACAAAACTAACTCTGTCAGAATCAATGAATGATCCTTATTGTTACCCTGTAAGTTACAGTTGGTTGAAGGCTCATTATCATTACCCCAGTTACCGACAGCGTAATTCGCGTTTTCTTTTAAAGCAACATTTCATAGCAAACCAGTTAAATAAATTGGTCTTTGAAAGATCAAAATTTAAGCCTTACCGTTTTCTCCCAAGACTCTTCCAAAACTTCTGGCTGTGGTCCTGCACAAGGCAGCATGGGTCACGTGTTCCACAGCAACAATAACATTGGGCTGCCCGCAGACGTGCCTGTCTGTAAATCGACGTACTACACAAGAAGGATATCGGCCGATGCCGATACATTAAAAAATGCCAGTTATCGGCCCAATATATCAGCCGGCCTATGTATCGGTCGACCTCTAGTGAGGACTATTTAGCCAATCAGTCCAATAATTAGTGATCTAATTAGGGCAGAGGTCACTAACAGGCGGACCGCGGTCCGGGTCCGGACCCAGAAGCTGTCCTATACGGACCCGGACCGATAGCCAAAACATTAAGTTATTTAAAACCTGACGTTTCTATTTTATCCGGCGTAGCTTTTGTGGTCTTTTCGGTAGTGGTTTAGCAGTAGAACCGCCGTTTCCCACGCCAATGAACGTCAAACACCTCTAACCGCCAAGCTAGACGTAGTTCGGCTCGTGCAGCCCTTTGTCTGCGCTAATGTGCCATTAGTGTTAATAGCAGCAGAGAAGCTAAAACCCGCAACCAAAAATTCGTAATGTTCCTAAAAGAGTGACTGGTCTGCCCTAAAATCATACAGCTGAAAAGTTTTTAAATACAGTATGTATTATATAACATGTTGGATAAATCGACGTAGTTTATTGTTGATTTCATGTTCGTTGAAGTTTC